AACAGGAGTAGATAGAAACGCAGTGAAGGTTAAACTACAAAAATATTATGAGGACAATGTTTATAATAAATACTTCGTCCATAAAGCAACCCAACAATAAATAATCTATAATATTTAATATGACTGATAAATATTATGGATTACGCCGACGCCCTACATTTGATGAAATGCTGAAAGAAGCGATGACACACAGATTAAAAATTGAAATTATCCCTGAAAGACAGACATTTGACAAATCAATTAATAATATAGACTTTGATGATTTTGACCTTTCAAAATACGATAGGAGACTACGATTGAATGCTAGGGTTCAAACTGATAAACAAGTTCTTCAACATGAATTGTTCCCTGATATGTTTGATGAAGTAGCGCCAACATCACAGTTTTATGAAAACAACGAAGCAGACGCACAAACAACACGATATATAGTAAAAGATTTTACTGATGAAATTTATAGTAGCGCAACTTCAGGACCAAAAGATGAACCAAAAGATGAACCAAAAGATGAACCAAAAGATGAAAAGCAGGAAGATTTACAAAGTCTTCATTTAACATCATCATCGTCATCAGCATCAACCGAAAAAGATAAGAAAGAGGAAAGCCGAGAAATAAAATCGTTAAGAAACATATTTTTAGGTGGAGAAGACAAGAGCGTATTTGAACTATTCCAACGAGATAAGAAGTCATCCACTTCATCAGAACAATCGCGAGAACAAGAAGAAGAACAACCGAGGGCTTCTTTCTGGTCAAGACGACAGGTAGAAGCGAGAAGCAGAAGCCACTCACCAGAAGAAAGAGCAAGAGGTAATCAAATGAACAGAAGACAATTAGAAACAAGAAGCAGGAGCAACTCACCCCAAGAAATAGCAAGAGGTAGTGAATGGACGAGGGAACAAATGGAAACAAGAAGCAGGAGCAGAAGCCCAGAAAGCGCTGACACAAAAAGTAGCAGAGGCAAGAAGAAAAAATAAAACTACTTAAAGAAATGGCCCCTTAATATATTAAGAAAAAATGAATAAGTGTATCAGAGAAGAATTGACAAAAGAAATTGTAAAATGCCGTGGTTGTAAGATATACAACAACAAAGTCAAAAAAGCAAATGACATATTTCCTGACTGTATCATTGATAATATTTTGAGTTTTGTATGTTGTAAAAGATGCACCATTACAAAACATTTAATGAAAAACGAACCTGACAATTTAGAAGAAATGGATAAGTGGATTTGGTATATGACGAGGTTAAATAAATGTCCAACGAAAAAATCATTACGGACAATATTTACAACTGGTTTAGACAAAGCATTAAAAGAGTATGGATATGACAATAGACTAATCTTGCATTATGGAACCGCTACTCAATTTCATTATAATTTACTTTTTCATAATAATGATGGTTATGTATCTTGTAAAAAAATTAGCATTTCAATGTGTAGAGATTTTCTTAAAATGTTGAAATGGCAATATATAGAAAACAAAGACAAAGTCGTTTATAAAAACATTTTTGATAATAAGTTTTATCATAAATTCGTCTGTCATTTGTTAGAAAAGAAAAGGCTTATTATTGACTGGTTTAATTATATGGGTACTGTTGATAGTGATTATGATTAAGTTTATTCATATTATTATCTTATAATATTATTAAACTACCTTAAAGTCAAATATATATACTTAAAGAAACAAGACCTTAATATAATAAGAGCAATGGAAGGTATGACAGTATTAACCACAGAAAATGTAGAGAAGTTGATGGAGAAAAGACAAAAAGAAAGTGATGAAGTTAAAAGGTTCATTAAGTTAAATCCATATCCATCCTATGAAGAAATGAACAATGTAATTGAAACAATGAAAGAATTGGGTTATCCAGAAAAGCCATTAATACAATGTTATCATCGTGATTTGTTAATGAAGACTTACAATGAATTATATGATGAAGGAAAAGTAATTGAATATGGAGCAGAGTTAAACAATATAGCATTCACAGGTTGTAAAAACATTGAAGATATGAAATTCTTTTTTAGGAGAACAAATTTTCTAATTCTTCAAGCAATCATTCGGTTTAATTATGAGAAGCATAAGAAAAGAAACAAACATATTGACAAAGAAACAGTATTAAGCTGGTCAAGAAAAATAGAACAGTGGTGGAATGAGATTGGTGAAAACATTGGTATTTATGCTGATTTTAGCAATTGGAAACCGGACAAAGTCCGTTTTACGCCTGACAGGCGGAAACCCTAAGCAATATTAATGGTTTATTCATATTAACAACTTATAATATGATTAAACACATGTATCCCCCAGAAAGCTTAAAAATTGACTGAAACCCGAACCTTGAAAATGATGAAATCTTAGACTGTTTCATAATGAAAAAATTGTAAAAAAATGTTGAGAAAATTTAGGAAAATTCCCCACAATCCCCCTTGGTGTTTTGGACAAAATGGTTTGCTTGTTTAATTTCATCCCTGCCCCTGAAACCTTGAATTGAAAATACCCTACCTCAGGGCCCCCCTTATAACCATTTTTTGGGGTAGCACTTGCATCGTCAGCAACATCTAAGTGAAACGAGTGTACCCATGCGATTTGATTCACTTCATGCCACACATCATAAAAGACAGCATGATCATGACCCTAAATAGCTTTCTCCACTGGCACACTGCTTGCGGCGCGAGATCATGGCTTGCGGGGCGTGTAACCACAAGGACCCAGTAAGTGTTTTTCAGGCGTGTGCCAATGCGATTGGCCACCCAAAATGCCTCAACATCACCAACACAAACCGCGCTCGAGGGAAGGTGTTTTCGATGTGTGCCAGTGCGTTCGGCCTACCCAAAAGACCTCAACTTGATCAATGAAACCATCTCAGGGGACCACGTTCAGCATGTATTTCTCTACAAAAAAGACCCCAATATCACGCAGCAATTGTCTCTTGAAAACATGCTAAACCAAACGCCACTGGCACACGGAGTTGCAACGACCCTGCCGGATGCGTTTCGTGTGCGTATTACACGAAAAACATGCTGCCAAAACCAAACGCAACGACTTTCACAGGTGAGAGTACGGCGCCGCAACATGAGTTCCCAGGCCAGTCCCACTCTCAGTCACATCTGTCACGTTCCCGCGGCCGACAGTGACTTCTCGGAGCCCCGCATCACACTAAAAACAGCAGGCTACTTTTTCGGAGTTCCTTGATGTTCCTTGGCTGTCGCATCGCGTCTACCTCTCAGCTGGCTACGGCCAGAGGACCTGGCTGGATCCGTTCTTCACTTTGCCGGCTCCGATCTTGGAGGGCGTTGCCCGGCCCGCTAAAACCTGTCACGTTCCGGACTGGCGCCTCGATGTGTTCCACTCCGCATGGCCACTTCCCCGTGATTGCAGCACGCCAAGGCGCTCCAGTCGCTACGCGCCGTGTGTGACGTAGTGCATTCGAGCCCCTGATGGGTGAAGCGTCGGCCCCTTTGGGTGTGTGTGTGTGTGTTGTGTGTGTTGTGTGTGTTGTGTGTGTTGTGTGTGTGTGCAACTCACCATCTGTTCCAAAAAAAAATGGGGGTCATGGAGTCGCGCCCTCCTGCAAAGGGCTGTGATGTCTGAACGACTTGAGCGGAAGGGATGCCGAAACTCCCTTTTCAAGTTTGGGATTCGCTTTCGGGCTCTGGTTCTGGGTCTGCTTCCGTTCTTGCTTCAGAGCATCGTCCGCATTCATGCAGACTTGTGCAATTGTCTGCCTGCTTGGCGTGCTTGCATCTGCCATGTGTCTGTGTCTGTGTGTGTGCGTGTGCGCACGTGTGTCTTTGCCCTTTGCGTACGACCTGGGTATGCCCGTGGGTACGAGCGAACGCACGTGGGTACGCCCGCGCCCGTGCACACTTACAACTTACATGGATATATATAGATATATATATATTAGCTAAATTTAAGAACTCGTAAACTTATAATAATAATTCTCAAAAACGCGCGAGGTGGGGCGTACGGGGTGCTTTTGAAGCAACGAGCGCGTGGACGGACGAGTGGACGAGTAGACGGACGAGTGGACGGACGGACGGACGGACGAACGGACGGACGGACGGACGCACGCACGCGCACGCGCGCGCACGCACGCACGCGCGCGCGCGCACGCACGCACGCACGCACGCACGCACGCGCGCGCACGCGCGCACGAACGCACGCGCGCACGCACCCTTTCGTACAGAAATAAGGGCAGAAATAAGACCATTTTATGGTCTTAAAAGAGGTCTTATTTCTGTACGCGCGGGCCCGTACAGAAATAAGACCTTTTTTAAGACCATAAAATGGTCTTATTTCTGCCCTTATTTCTGTACGGACGGGTGCGTGCGTGCGTGCGTGCGCGCGCGCGTCCGTGCGTGCGTGCGTCCGTCCGTCCGTCCAACCGCGCACTCGTCCGTCCACTCGTCCGTCTACGCGCGCGTGCGCTCGCACACTCGTACGTTCACCCGCTCGCTCGCCCGTGCGTTTCCCTCGCGCGCCACTTGCCCAGGTTTTCTGGAACATGCCGTTAACGACCTCTCGAATACAGCTAATATATATGATACAAATATATATAATATATGTGTGTGTCTGCATGTATGTGTCTACGTATCGATGTATGTATGTATGCATGCATGCATGCATGCATGTATGCATGTCTCTACGCATGCATCTGTGTGTGTATGCATGCATGCCAGCATGTATACGTGAGCATATGTACGTATGTACTTAGGTACGTAGAATGCATGCAGGCGTGCGTGCATGCAGCATACGTGCATGAATGTATGAAGTACGGATGCATCGATTGTGTCAATGTTCTGATGTATGTTTGTGTCAATGATGAATGTGGTTCGAATGTATGTTATGTGTGCATGTGCGTGAGCGCGTGCGAGAGCCGGTGCGTACGTTTGTATGACGTATTTATGTATGCATTCACGTGCCCTCACATTAAGAATTGGCAAAGGCAGGAAAACACGAGTTTGCCACTCTCGCTCACAAGTCTCTTGTCTATCTTGGCAGCGCACCGCTCTTGCCATGCCGTGCCGCAAGCCATAGCGGAGTCCTTCCATCCTGGCCGCCCCGAATGTTTGTATGACTTCCTTCAGGCTCCCGTGCAATCAACACATGGCAAAAGTCGCATCAGGCCGCGGTTCATGTTTGTGTCGCGATTCCTTTGATTCCAAATGGGCGCGGGCTCTGTCCACAAAGTCCAGATTTGGCGCATGTTTTTGCATGTGTCCACCTTCAGAAGCCAAATGGACCCCCCGGCCTCGTCTGCCTCATCGGCCTTGGCCCCGTGGGTCAACAGCAGCTCTGCCACCCCCTGGAAGCCACTTTCTGCCGCGGAGGCCAAAGGCCTCCGGAGCGGCTGAGGACCCAAGAGGTCACCCAAAGTATATAGCCCGGGTGGCGTGTGGGAATTGCCAAACCCCGAATGCCAGTTTTGGCCCGAGGACTGTAAACCTGATGTCGGCATTCTTTTAAGTCCAGGACATCTGGAAGCTTACTGCCAAGAATGGAGATTTAAAGGTTTGCGCTCCCTGGCACGACTAACAGCTCCGGAAAAACACGCCACACAAGCAGCTATCGAATATCGACAAAAGGATTGGACACAGCAATGGAGGTGCCAAGCGCCTGGGTCTCGTCATAGTGGAACATCAAAATCAACATGGTTGAACGCTTGGAGCTGTTCAAGCCTTTGAGTGGATTTAGCGCATGACTTGGGCTTGTCAGCCAGGGCGACCCCAAAACAAAAGGTGTCAAAAAGAAAAACACCGAATCATGCCCCGCTCTCTCCAACAAAGCTGCGCTTTCGCGATGAAGCAACCCAGGGATGAGTGGAAGCCACGCACGCTCATATGCCGTACGCATGTACCAACTTTGCAACAAAAGGAAACTCTTGCGCAAGAGCTGCAGGAATGGACTGTGTCTGCTACTTTCGTACATCGGATTCACAACTTTCGCACAAGAACTGCAAAAAAGATGCTTCCGGCGAACGACTGAATTACAAACTCAAAAACCTCAACTTTCGCACAAGAACGTACCGCGCATGCTACTTGCAATCCTTAAAGCAGCGGCTTTCGCGCCAGACTATGCAACCATGTTTCCTGTGCAACTTTCTTCACTTACAAACCAAAGACTTCCGCACAAGCGCTGCAGGTACTTTGTGTACTACTTTCGCACTTGCAAAAAGTTGTGCCAAAGCTGCGAAAAGTGCGCTTCGCGCGTTGCTTTCCGCCAAATTCGCACGGCGCAGCAACGCTATCGAATCAACACGCACCATTTCTGCAAAGGGTTCGTCGGCAATCGAAATTGCACGGCGCCGCAGCGAGCCCTTTAAGGCGCACAAGCCTCGCAAAAGAATTCGACAGGATCCCTTGACAAGGGAAATTCGGCCACGTTGGAAATTCGCACGAAGACGCAGCGAGGGCGCTTCTAATTTCTGGTGGCGGGCCACGTCAACCCTTCCGCATGTTGCTCGAGCAACGTAGCTTCCACATCCCCCCACGCCAAACTTTTACCAAATTGGGTGCAAGCAAAATAATTATTGCTCGATCGGCCCGAGTGCCAGGCGTACGCTCACCATAGGCATCCAAGTGCCTGTTGTACACCTGGATGCCAAGGGTTCAAGATGGTTCAAGGCTGGGAGCTTGGGCAGATGCCATCGAAATGCCTCCGGGCCCAGCCAGCATGCATTCTCTCGCTCAGGGGGAAGTATATTGTGTTATAATAAATTCCTGAGTTTTGGCCCTCTGCCATCAGCCAGCCAGGCCCCGCCTTCACCATGCTGCAGTTCACTAGCCGCTCCGCCTCACCTGTCGGAGCCGCCTGTGACGCGCAGCGGTGACATGCAACCTGAGAATCAGCTCCCAGGGCTGGGGACCAGAACCTCAAATTCCTTCTAACCTTGCAGAATGACTCAGAATGCCCGCGAGGTAAACCACCACCTCAAGAATCTGTCAAAACGATTCAAAACGTCCATGTCATGCCACCGTTTAGCCGCTGAAGCTAACCTTCCCCTTGCTTTGCGGGCCAGCCCGACCGCCTCCAGCAAGGCAGCAGTGACGTCTAGGCACCCTTCCACAGAGGCATAATGCAGGGCCGTGGCGCCATGCTCGTTCCTGGCACCCGCCCGTCGGACAGGACTGTGCTTGATTTCCTTCAAGCCCCTTCCCTCATTGCTCAGCTAACTACAAAGCCAAAAAGGCTTTTGCAACATACAACGAAGCGAATAGGCTACTCGATAGGAAGCCCAGTGGCAGCCTTGACCAGCACTAGCAACCCTCTGCAGCACCCTCTCTGCACAGCCTGGCAAACACATCGGCTCCCCGTGCTATCAGCCGCAGCGCTACCTTCAGGGAATGGCAATGACTCGAGAAGACGACACGATGTGCGAGCCGCGCTGAGTGAAAAGGCAGTTCATACCAACTTTTCAATTATTTCCGTAATTTTGCATGTAAGGAAAACCCGTTCAAACGGCCAAGAAATTCTTCAAACAAGGAATATGTAACGGCCCTTGCCAACGCTACCGACTTGAAGCCGAATGATGCCAAGGGGCCAACATCCGGACACAGCAACTTCACAGCTTGAAATTGTTGGTGAGACAAGGAACATGTTTGGCCACCCTTCCACGCTCCACGGTAGCAAAAAACCATCCCATCGGTCCCCTTAATTGCTGTGCTTGCCATGCTCTGGCCTCCGAGTGGCCGTACATGCAGGCTGCCAGCAGCGGAGTGTTGTCCCACATGCCCAAGGCCTGCACTAAGCGTAACAATTGTAGGCGAGGAAATGGACATTGGATACAATTCTGCAGTTGAGTTTTTGTTGGGGGGGCCTTATTGTAGCCACCGATGGTCTCACTTGCTTTGCGGCTTACAGTCCTCTCGGCCAAGGTCCATGTCATGCGTTGCGGACTATGCGGCGACCACCTTTTAGCACCTCCCAATTTTCTCCTCCATTTTCAAGCATACCATGCATACATTGCCACGTGGCGGCCTCCATGTTGCAATCCGGCGACTGCAGCAGTTCCTCCACCACCGCTAAGTCATTTGCCTTGATCGCCTGTGCTTGGCAAACATGCTGCCACCAATGCGGAAGGCATCGGAAGGCCTGCCTTGATCAAGGACATCGGCTTGGCTTTTGGCTTGGCTTGCGGTACCTTCACCAAGAAGTCGCGCCCCCGAAACTGCAGGTGCAAAGGATTGCGGGAGCCACGCTTTGCGTCTCGGTGCTGCACATTGCAGTGTGAGGATGATGGCACAATTGAAAGCAAACTGTGGATTGGTCTACCATGGACAACCTGAGTTTCTTGCGGCATCTTGCGGCCACCACTTCAAGCAAGGCTCCGTGCATTCCCCCACCCATGTCGGAAGCAGAACCAAAAGGTTTAGTGGCACTAAGGCAAGGCACAAATGGAAACTGGCATCTGCCATGCGTGCCCAAAACAAAGGAGACTTCGATCACCAGAGTCATTTGAGGCCAACTTGCCCCAACATGGAAGATCCGCTTTGGCGCACTACTTCTATGTCTTTCTGCGCAGGCCTGGCACCAAACAGGTGGTTTATTGAAAAAAACAGTAACGTTGCAATTTGTTTGCCAAAACAAAAGCGAGCCTTTGCGAGCCGCCTGCAGGATCACTCATTGCCTGAGGCACGAAAAGCAGGAAACTTGGTTTTGCCCTTAAACAATTTGCCCACATGCACCTCTGAGGCAATGGCCCGGGTAGCTTGGTGGCTGCTTTGCACAGGCGGCGCGCCAGAGGCTGGCCTTAGGCACTGCACGCTATGGTGCCGGTTGCCTGTGCTGGCAGACCACCCAACTTGTTAAAAGCATGCTTCGAATCTGGTGCACGATGTTTTCTGAGCGCAGGGCTGGTGTGGAGCAGAAGGAACTACATCGTCAGCAGGACGCACCTGTGCTGGCAAGCGACGCGCAGTGCAATCAGCTGATGATAACATCTCTGGCACCCCGGCAAGGGCAGCAAATTGAAAATGCCCAGACATGATTTGATGGACTGCCTGCACCGCCGTTTTGGAAGAGCAGGCACTTCCCATCTGCAATGAATGGCTTCTTTGTTTGGTAAGCTACACAATACGAAATGCACGCACCAGCTTGCAAATTTGTCTTGGAATGAATTGCCCAGGTCAGCATGGACAATTTGACCGGCATGTTGCCTGCGGTTTGCTGTCAACTGATTGCTGGTTAACCGTTCCGAAACTGCGAAAAGCTGCGAAACGAGCTACTGCTCCAAGCAACGCCGTGACTCCACAAGCACATTTCATGGTACATCGTCCAATGCGACATTACCATGAAAACCCGGGCTAGGCGCATGCCTGCGACTAAGATTAGAGACCGCAGCCACGGCGGCTGCGGCACGTGGCGCGGGCAAGCTGGCGGAAACAAATGCGCCTCGGCACTCCAGCAGCCCGGCCAAGCAGCAGGGTCGCAATTCAGGGAAGACATGGTCCCGCTTGGGCGGCCGGGGGTTAAAGCGGTGGCTCGCCATTTCCGCGGGACAACACATTTCCAGCGCCATGGCGCAAACGCCTCAATTTGCGCGCGTCGTGCGTGACAACATGCATGTTGTTTCCTCTTTTGCGCCGGCGCAAGACTTGCTCCGCACCGTGCCGCCTTCCCAGTCGGCGGCCTACGCGGAAGCGCATGACCACGCGGTCTGAGACACTCTGCAAGCGCTCCTTGACGAGCGCGGCGCCGCTTGGCCGGAAGCCCGACGCCGCGCTTTTCTTCCAGCACGACTTGTGTGCCACACGTGCAGCGCCTCCTGGGCCGATTCCTTGCCAGTCATGCTCCAGCGTTGTCCTGATGCGGCGGGGCGATGCGTGCGGGTCCTTGTGGACGACGAAGCTGCCACCCCTTGCCTTCGCGAGGCGGCCGTAGCTGGCGACTTGCTCCGGCGCCACTGGCCCGAGCGTCTGTCCTGGCAGGACATCCTGGCACGCGCGGCCCCTCCAGCTGCAGCGCCTGACAGCAAACCATGCGATTGGTCGCATGGTTGGCAGCTTCTCGCGTCTCGCGAGACCGAGCTTCTGCCACTCATGCCATCAAAATCGATTTTTGTCTCCGCTCGCAATCTGGCCCACATGCTGGGGCTTGGCTCGCTGCCCCTGGCGCACACGCACGTCGCCTTGCGTCGGCGCCTCAACACATCTGCGGCAGGCCTGCATCTTGTTCTTTACGGCGCCACGCGTTTAGGCGAAGCGCTGTGCTGCGACGCCTTGCTTGTTGCTCCGCTCCGTCGCGACGGCCGCAACCACGCGCGGCCGATGATAGCGGCCGAGTGCAACAAACCCACGCTCGGCTAACGGCCTGTCGCCACGCCACATGTCAGGGTGAAATGCCCGGCGGAGCGGCGTCCCCGGCACGATTGTAGACACTCGCGTCGGCGCAGCAAGGCTACGCGGAGAAGATTATATGGTGGACTTCGGTACGGCTGCCAAATCATTTGCGACCTGCCCGTGCAATCACGGGGGGGGGTGAGTCTCGGAAGCTGCTTGCCGTAGTAGACATATGTACAACGGTCGGCACCAGTCCGTAAGAACGGAGTGCCGAATCAAGGATGTTCCACCATCTGCGGGGTGCGTCATTCAGCTCGAGGCAGGCTTCTTCATGCGCGCTCCAATGTGTTGCGGATATCGCATTTCAGGAGGGATCTGACGAATGATGTCACGAGTCTGATCGTATGCTTCGCCTTGGAGGAATGCTGTCTTCAAATCCATGTGGAATATTATATTCCAGCCCTTATTTGCGGCTGCTTGGATTGCAAGGCGGAAGCCAGCAGGACTGTCTGTCTGCTGGTCGTTCTTCTGCTTGTCTTGGAAGCTCGGAGGATCCAGCGAGCCTTGGTCTTTAGGAAGTTACCAAATCTCTCGGAACCAAAGGATCCGGTATTCGCACAGATCTTCTGCTCAGCTGTCATGAATGACCCGTGTGCCTCATCGAGAACGAAATCAGCTTCGTGATCATTGTAAGCTCTGGTCCTCTGAGAGCCTTCTTCTTGGTCAGTATATCTCATGGTTCAATCTGAACTTCCAGTGCCGGATGAGGTTGGAACAGGGATCAATCATGGTTTTCTGCTCGGGATTTTTTTCGGGCTTCGTTAGAATCGCAGGTGGCGAAGGTACCACGACAGTCGGAAGAACTGGTCGAGATGATTGCGACTGTGACGGCAAAGAGACATCACCTCCCAGTCGATTGAGTCTTTTTCCGTCTGCTCCTGCAGGCCACTTATATACCGGCGGCCCCTGGATGTGCTTAGGGGGCATTAAGGGGGCAGCCATTTGTATACCGGCGGCTCCCGGCTGTGCGGCTCACCGGCCGGGCAAGCGGGATGCGCCCGCCAGTGGCACGTGGGCAAGATCAGCCAGCAAGGTGCCGAGGGGAGGCAGGGTGCCACCCCCGGCATTGCAAAGCTCCGGCCCGGCAGCCTGCCCGAAAAGGGATGAAGCAAAGGCTGTCATGGCTGCATGGGTCAGCTGGGCCGACCACCTGGCAACAAGAGCGCCGACAACACTGGGGCGCAGCCGAGCTGGCGCTTCAAGTGCCCGGGCGCGGGCCAAGGACCGGATGAAGGAGGCGGCCTCATCACTCCACCGCCCGCCAACCTCGACTGCAAGCACGACCAGCCGGCATCTGTGCGCCCTCACGAGCTCTGGGTAGGCCCGCTCTTTGCGACGGCGCGCCACGGCGAGGGCAACCAGCGACTCGACCCCCGCGCCGAACGGGCTGGCCCTGGCCTGACAAGGGCGAGACAAGGGTTGTGTCCACTGCAAGTTGCTGGCCCCCCCACATTGGGAGGCCATGGGCCACGACCTCCAGCCGCCTATCGTCGACCCGGTCAACTTGAAGGTTCAAGTCCGCAAGGCGTGTGTTGGAGGTGACTCTGGCTCCAGCTTCTCTGCAAACGCGTGCGGCCGCACGCTCCAGCGGACACCCGCGCCCCCGGAGCACACCTGACCGGGCGCAGTGGTCGCCGAAGGGGTCCAGAAGGCGACGGCACCGGCAGGCGCGCTCAGCAAGAGGCAAGGGGAGGCGCAGGCGGCGCAGGAGGAGAACACGGAAGAGATGGCAGGGATAGGACAACCTGATGAGACTGGCACTGTAGTGAGGAAACGGCTAGCGAAAGGCCCGGACTGGGAGTTTAAGCGCTGAATCTCCTCCGCCAGACTTGTCGTGCGGCGGCAACGGTGGATCTACTGGACTGTCTGGCGATACACCTCGTGGTGCTGGCGGCATGGGATGATCAGGCTGATGTGGAGGATCCGGAGAAGGATTTTTTTTTCGCACGCCTTTTTCCAAGCATCGCAAGTGAAACGCCGGCTGGAACAGACCAGCACCCGCGCCGAGTGCGAGGCAAGCAGCTCAGCCGCGCAAGGGCAGGCGGCTCGCGCCCGCATCCGCGGCGAGCCTGAGCACGTGCTCCAGCGGCGGCTCGGGCAGGCCGGGGCCCTGAGGCGCTGCCGGCCATGCGCGGCCCAAGGCCGTGGACCCAATGGCCTGCTGCACCGCAACGGAAAGCTGCGCCCACCAGCGCCGCTGCCACCCTTGGGCTGCTGGCCGGCGCACAGCAGGGGGGGCCCGCAAGCTGCGACAGCGCGCAAGGTCCCGCACGAGCCCCAAGGCCTCGTCATTCCAGCGCCCGCCTACCTCCGAGCCAAGCACCAGGAGCCGCTGCGGCCCCTGAGCGAGCAACTCAGGGTACGTCGCCCGTTTCCGGCGCTCAGCCACCCGCAAGGCCGCTCCGTCCTCCTCCGACGCCCGGGGCTGAGGGGCTCCCGAGCGCGTCAGCGGCGACACAAGCGTGGCGTCGCAGCAGAGTGCCTCCCCCCGCGGGGAAACACCGTAGATGACCAGGTCCAAGCGGCGTCTGTCCCGCGCGTCGATTCCAACGGCCGTGGTGTGGGCGAGCCACTGCTGCGGCACCACCTGACCTTCTGGGCCCACAGCTTCGCGCGCGACCCGCACCCAGGCCCGCTCGACAACCTTCGCGCGCCGAGCGAGCAGACCAGTCCGCGGGCAAGCAAGGGCATGATCCCCGAAAGCGTCAGCGACGCCTCCGCAGCCGGGCCCCTCACCCCCGCATCGGTTGGGAGCGATGGGCAGCGGGAGCCGCATCCTGCGCCGCAGCGCAACCTGCATGGAACCTGGCGACAATGCGGTAGACACATCAGCCGGGATGGCTGTCAGCCAGGCACCAGCCTGAGCCCCCGCTTGGGACCGGAGCAACGCCCTCAGAGACGGCGGCGAGGAAGGCAAGAGCACGCGGTCGCGGAAGTGGGAGTGGCGTATTCGCGACGCGTGAAACTGCCAGCCGTGCGGCCAGTCCCCAAGGCCTACAGCCTGGTCGTTGTGCTGGGGGCGCGCGCCCTCCAGCAAGTCCTGCCAAGATGGAACAGTAGTCCAACCTTCTGCTTGCAACTGTGCTCGGGCCGCCTCCGCCTCCCGCAAGCTAGGCGGACCGGGCCCGTGCGCTGGGGAGCTGAGCTCGGCGACCCGCGCTTCCGCGAAGCCGGCCCGGCGCGTCTGTATGACGGTGAGCGCGTCTGCCCACCCCGCCCAATAGGCCGCTGGAGAAACGCGCGAAGCGGAGCACAGCCCCAGGCCGCCCATGGCAGCCGGGAGGCCCGCGACATCCCGCGCATACGCGAGACCATCGGGCGGCGAGCCACCCAAGCACCGGAGCAGCGTGTCCCACAAGGCTTCGTCGTGCGCCGCGGCATAAGGTGCGGCCTGGGTGGGCGGCACAGTGCGGAGGGTGTGATTGGCTCGGGGGGCCGCGCACATGGCCAACAACAACCACGCGCATTGCAGATCCGGGACGCGGGGCAGCATGTCAAGGAATACGCGCTCCGTCGCTATGCGGTTCTGGGACCACGTGTGTACGAAGTCTGAGTGGCCGATGGGCGTGCCCAGAACGACAAGGCCACGCTCGTGGGTCGCTTTGTCCGAGCACCAGACGCCATCTCCAAGCGCCGCTATGTTGCCGGGCGCGGGTTCTCCTGTAAAGTTGAACACCCGCGTCTTGCCCAGATTGGCGGCGATGCCGCAATGCGCAGCTATGGCCCCGGTGACCGTGTCCAGC